GGTTGATTTTGATTTATTTAGCATTCCTGCTAATTGACGTAATGTAAAGCGTGGGTTATTCTCGATTTCTGTTCTAATCGTATCTTCGTCTGTGATGAACGGCCTACCTGGGCGTTCTTGATCTTCAAGGTCGAAATTTCCAGCTTTAAACCGAGCAAACCACTTCCGCACAGTTCTTTCGGCTACAGCATCCTCGCCATAAACAGCGCATATCTTATTTGCCGCTCGTGTGGCATTTTTGCCCTTTCGGAAAAAGAAAAGCATTAAATGCCTATAATGCGCTTTATTTGCCACCATATTCTAAGGCGTACAAAACTGATAAAAATCAACGAATCGTATCCAAACTTTTTTCCAAATATGGCTGAAGTTATCTCTTTTAGAATATGCACACATGTCATTTGTTTTCAACAATTGTGATATATTCGGTCAGGTCTCTCACGCTACCTACCGAAAATCGGCACGAACTTTCCGGACAACCCAATAATTCCGAAGAAAATGGCACGGCAAGGGGCTAACAACGAACTCCGCTGGTTTTATCGGTAAAAATTCCGCAAAATTATTATTAGCACGGTCTATTGGACATACCACGGGTAATTGCGGGTAGACAACCAGCTCCGGCTTCGAAAAAGAAGGAAGGCCTGTTTCTGTTGGCGCCGGACGAAGCAGGATGAGGCAGAGATCCCATTGTCCTTGCCTCGGGGGCCGCGTATTTTCGTTGGAACTCCGCCCACCGCGAAACTGCCATTGTTCGGGTATTCAAAACGCAGACGTACCCGCCGTGGAATGTCTGAGTGGCCGCGACGCGGTTTCGGTGTTCCGCGTCGCGCGTGCCTAGACTCGCGAATCGTGACGCGCGAAAATACACCCGGGGGTTCGCACGAAAATAATCGTCGCCATCGGCCTTGGGCGTCGAACGCGTCGAAATTCGTCCCGTCGACCGCGCTAGAATGCCAATTATCCGGATTTAGCGCCGCGAGCTTGGTCCAGTGGATTATTAATATTCGCGGAATCGCGGGCCCCGGGACCCTCGGTCGCGAAAATTCCGTCTTTCCTTCCGAGAGAGAGAGCTTTTTCAAGCACTTTTCGATCGATGAGATTAACCTTTTAGGTACGGCAGAATCCTGCGCGAGGCTATTTCTCTGGACGGCAGAGTCTGATATGTACTGTACAGAGTGTCTGTGCATTCTGTCTGTATATTGTTAAGATACAGTTATATTGTTAAGATAAGTCTGTATATTGTAAATCGATGTGAAGACAAAAGAAGCGTGAAACAATGCGTATGAAGACGATTATTTGATTCGAATGATGACCGAGAGAGCTACTAGAGTAAGCCACTATAGTGGTGCGTCGTCCAGAGAGACGACATCCGCGAAAGCCACTATAGTGGCGCGTCGTTCAGAGAGATGGCATCCGCGAAAGCCACTATAGTGGCGCGTCGTTCAGAGAGATGGCATCCGCGGAAGCCACTATAGTGGCGCGTCGTGCCTAAAAGGTTAATTTTGCGAAATGCCCCCGTGAGAAATCGTAAAAGTCGTCAGCTTTATTCGGTAATATTGAAAACTATCGTTCTTTCTACGAATAATAGGAAAAAGGCAAAACGAACGAGTCGTTTCATTATTGCAACGATGTGCAACGTAATCAAAGTTACATTGAAGCAAACGAATTTGTAATTATTTACGTCCGACAGTGTCATAAAAGAATGGAGCTTTCCAATATCGATCGGAATGTAACGGGCCAGCAGACACGTTTAGGTAGGTGTATCTCGTTTTCGATCTAAATAGTGCACAATAAATAGATTTAGTGCTGCGCAGTAGTATAATAATTTGTCGTATGTACATCGAGATCGATTCTTGTAGTATGTTGAATAAATGTAAGAAGTTGTTGCTCGATGCTTACGGTAGATTGCAAGGAACGGGTTCGTTACCTGAGCACACTGTTCTATCGGGTTCGAACGTTTAGCCACTGCTTATATTGCTTCAAGGTCACGTAAAACTATTCGATTCTTTAAATAAATATGTGGGCGCAGTCTTGTGCCAAAATACAACCTCTTTACAAAAAAAGAAAAGAATTCGAGGTATATCGATGATCACAATAGGCGACCGCTCTACGCCATCTGATACAGATTCCGAAGATAAATTTGTGTAGTGGCGGAGAGGACAGCTATTGTGACTGTCAATTTATCTTACATCTTTCTTCTCGAAAAACGAATCGTACGAGATAAACAGGACGATGAAGAGGTATAAACTGATCAGTGCACGACATTCTTGAATAAAAAAATAAGAATACGGGTACAGTGTTCTCTTTCGTATGCTAGGCCAATGTAAGCAGCGTGAAAACTCTCTTAGTGGTGATGCAACTATTCGAGCAATCGTTGTAAATTGTCATTAACAGTTCAATAATTGAAATGGGATGTTAACACTGCAGCGCTTTTGTAATTATTAATGTCCTTCTGCAGACTACAGGGATGAAGGAAGTGAAGAGGATAAAGGGGAGAAGAGTCGACTCTATAAAAAAACCGAGGAAAAAGATAAAAGATAATATAAACGTACAACATAATAGTCTCCTTTTTAATATAATGAATAATGGTAGTAGACAATAATAATAATAATAATAATAATAATAATCATAATAATAATAATAATATGATAATGATAATAATAATAAAATTAATATAATAATAATAATAATAATAATAATAGATATATTCTGTCTATATTCACATTCAGAACTATGTACAATTGAATTAATTTACAATTGAATTCGTACGAACAACCAAATAGAACCTATTAATCGTAGTATGTATATATTTATATATTTATATATTTATATATCTATATACCTAGTACCTGTATTATGTATATTCACAACAAATCGTTCTCGCTTCGATTCTCTTTACGAGGCCGCGATCGTGTACACGAAAAAAAGATCTCTCTTACTCTCTCTCTCTCTCTCTCTCTCTCTCTCTCTCTCTCTC